TTGGCTTTCGCGAGAGAACGGCCTCTGCTCGCGGCGCCGACTGGCCGGGGCGCGGCTGGCCCTCGCGAGCTGGTTGGCTCTCCCTCGGCCCCACCTCGTCTCCCGCGCTACGGGGCGCCGAACCCGTGTGGCTTCGGCTTCTCTGTGCCGCCAGCCCGCTCTCCCGGCGGGGTCGGGGCGCCCGGACGCCTGCATTTGGCCTGGGGTCCGGGGTCCGGGGTCCCTTACCGATCTAAGCCAAAGCCGAGGTTAAAAATGAGCCTTAACGTAAGGTGGAGGGGAGCGTGCAGAGGGCTGTAGGAAGGGAGGAAGCTCAAGAAGTGTGAGGGGTGGGCGACGTCGTGCAGCACCCCTGGGCCCCGCTTCTGGCTCAGTCCCGCCGGCATAGAAACAGACGGACGCCCACCTTACAAAGGAAACAAATGACAAAGCCTCTAATGGTTGGACTGGCATGCCACCATTTGGCAGCCCTCATCGGAAGATGAGTGCGCGGGGGAAAAAGGATTCTCAGCGTCGCGGTGGGGAAGGGACGACGGGATCTGTGCGTCCAGCTGGAAGCACACGCCCACGCCTGAGGTCGCCGGCCAGAAGTGGAGCCCAGGACTGATGTTACAACCCTTCAGGGTCCCGTCGTCAGGGGCGTTTTGACAAAACAGCGTGGGAATTTCACGGAAACAGAAGAGGGAGGGTAAGTGTGGAGTTACAACAGACACATCTATTTGCATCCCATAGTGCTCCTTCGTTGGTTCCTGGTCTGAGTGTTTGACCTCAACCGAAAGTAGTCAACTATTTCACCAACAAAGGGGACTTATTCGGAAACAACAGACAGGCAGTTGGAGAAGTGTGCAGCCTCATGGCATTGGACAGGTGCACTGCACCGGAACCGAAGCCACCGCCTTGGGAGGGCTCCCCTCTGCCTGGGAGGGCTCCCCTCTGCCTGGGAGGGCTCCCCTCTGCCCTGGACTCCGTGGCCGCTGGGCAGCAACCTCACTTCCCTCTGGAGACACACGTGGTGGTAGGTTGCTACTTACAAGTGTGGGCACTCTCCCCTAGCTTCCCAACTTCCTTTAAATAGTTTCTCTGTCTGGATTTTCACAAAGCACACTTAAGGTTTTGGGGCATTGGTTGAACACAATAAGATTATTTTAGATTTGAAAGTGGCACAGTGGTTGTCCTTTTTAAATATTCCTTGGTCCTTTTAGAAATACAGGTTGAAATGTTTATATCATGAATGCTGTGATCTTCAAAGTAATCTGGGACTTTGGGGCAAAGGGAGGAGCAAGTCCCCATTAGCCATCAGTTGGGGCTTGCTGAAATGGTGTTAAGGACACATAAGATTTTATGAAAAATTCAAACAAAATGCCCTCCATTGAAAACATGAAACGAAAAACTGACCCTGATTCTCCCTCCAGTGACAACCTCATGTTCTGCTTTTATGGCGAAATCCCCAGAAAGGCTTGCCTCGCTCCATTTCCCTGCCTTCTCTCTGGGTCCACGCCAGCCTGGCTCTGGTGCCTGAGGTACTGGGAGTGCTCATTTCAGGACTGCTAGTGATTCCACTACACCGAAACCAAGTCACTCCTCAGTCTGATCGCTGCTTCATGGACTTGCTAACATCGCCTAATCTTTTCTGCTAACCCTGACACCAGACTCAGCCCATCCTCTGGGCTGTCTGAGGTACATCAAAGGGAATGTGTCCCAAACCACCCTCTGACCCTCAGGCCTGGTCCTCTCCAAGCTCGGTTAATGACTCTCCATATTGGGCCAGTGTTTTTTGGAGATGACTTTCTCAGATCTCACCTTCCACCTATCATCCTTGCCTTTACATCTTGCTAGTCTGACCTAGCAGGGGCCTCCAGCCTTTATCTAGATTATTCCCACAGCATCCTCACTGGTCTCCAGGTTTCTGGGCTTGCTGTACTCCACCCACCCCCACGTGGGAGCCAGAATTATCCTTTCTTTCCTCTTTCAAACCCTTCCACAGTGTACTTCCTTTCTTACTGCTAGGCCTGTAAGATCTGCACCCTGCACGTATCTTCTTTCCACCTCATCTTCTGCACTCTATTCCAGCCACCGTCTCCTGGTGGCTCCTCCCATGTGTCAGGCACAGTTCTGCCACAGGGCCTTTGCATCGGCTTCGCCCGCTGCCTGGAGTGCTCTGACCCAAGATACCAGCATGGACTCACCTCTTGCCTCCACAGGTCTTTGCCCAGGTGTTACCTCGTCAGCAAGGCTTTTGTTGGGAACCACATCTAAAACTCTCACACACATATTGTGATTTTAACTGTTTACCCTGGCAAGAGTAAGTTCCTTGGGGACTGGGCTTTCCATGTTTTCTTCACAGTTACAACCTCTAGAACATGCAGAGTGGGCTGAAGTCAGGAAGCAGGGGGTCAGGCTGAAAGCAGAAGAGGGCTTGTGAAGGCATTCCCGGTAATGCAGTGGCAGAGCAGTGAGGGAAGGCGCCATAGACGGGAAGCAAAGACTACGAAGATTTAATTTAAAATCACAGTGTCTTAACCAGGATACCCATCCTTAGGGGCACCCCCAAATCCAGAGTTCCTTAAGGACACCCCAGGCTCAACAGGGAGGGGTGGGCAGGCTGCTGCCTTAGCATCTGTCAGTGGCTGACCCTCAGCTTTCCTGCAGGGGCGAGGTCCAGCTCTCAGGTGCTTGCTGGGGCAGGTTCTGCTGTCGCGGCCACCGCTGCCACAGGCTCTTTCTGCACCAGCTCAGGCTCGTCCTCACCGTCCTGGGGGGGGTGAACCAGAACCTTGTCCAGGATGCCGAACTCCTGGGCCTCCATGGGACTCATGTAGCGGTCCCGCTCCATGGCGGACTCTGCAGGGGAAAGAGGAGGCAGGATTGTGCCGTTAGGAGCAAAGCCCGGCGCCGGCGTGGGCCCCATTCTCCACTTCTTAACTGTGCGACCTTGGCCTTTATTTCTACACACCTCAGTTTCTCTGCCAGTAAATGATAGACATACCTCAAAGATACTGTGGGGTTAGTTCCCCTTCACCACAGTAAGACAAATGTTGCATTCAAGCAAGTCAAGCAATTTTGATGGGTTCACGGTGCATCTAAAAATGATATTTTATACTAGACGAGGGCCCGACATGTGTGATAGCATATGCCTTAACTAAAATAACATATATGCCTTAACTAAAAAACACTTTATTGCTAACAAAATGCTAATCATCACCTGAGCCTTCTGCGAATCTGAGTCCTTTTGCTGGTAGGTTTTGTAAAAAATGCATTATCTGCAATAAAATGAGGTATGCCTACAGGTATACCTGTTTCAGTCTTTCTTTTTAAAACTGATTGATGTGTAATATGTATCGACAAAGGACACAGCTCTTAAACGGACAGCGTGCTGATTGAACAGATTTCAGATTGAACAGCCCACACGACCCACAACCAGGCCAAACAAGGACACACGGCCAGGCTACCCCGTCCAAGTCTCAAGATGGCCATGTCCGGCCACTAGCCAACCCCACTTACGACTAACCACTATCCTCAGAGCCCCGATGGCACAGGCCAGTGATGCCAGGTTTTGTTCTTTAACTGCAGCCTCAGTAAACTGAAGCGTGTGCTCTTCTTTCCTCCCAGAGTCACGTTTTGGAGATTCCTCCGGATTGCCACGTGTCACGGCCCATTCTCTTTGTGGTACAGAGCAGCCCACGCCACTTAAGACACTTCCGGTCAACAGCAGACCAGAGATGACAGGCCTCCCAGCAGGCTGTCCCACCGGGGTTGATGTTGCTGTGCCCACTGATGCTTGCAGAGTGACAGTCACCTAGTCAGCTTTCTTGGGATGTGTCCCTGGGTGATCAACACGTGACTCACTGACTCTACCATGTGAGTGAGTTACCAGCAGCACGCTCGTCCAGTGCAGATGGGCACCTGGGCATTTTCCCATGTGGGGCTTGTCCAAACAGAACCACATTAGCATTTCAGTCTGAGTCTATGGCGGGTGTAAGCACACAATTCTCTCAGTTATTCATTGTGTGGGGGAACTGTGGCCTCATTCCGTGGGTTCAGCCACAGCGGAGGTTCAGCTTCCCAAAATGGTTGCGCCATGCTCACCCCACTGCAGTGGCGAGTGTCCAGCTGTGCTACATCACAGGTTGGCGGTGCTGGTGTTTTACATTTTAGTTGGTCCGGTGGACTGACGCAGAATCTCACCGATGCTTTAATTTGCCTCTTCTTGATAACTACTGAAGTCATTATTAAACATAATCACTAACAAGATGAGCATCTTTCCTGTTTCTTCATCCCTTGAAAAACCTTTGGTGAAGACCCTGTTCAAGCCTTTTGACATTTCATTTAAGATTTTGTGAGAATTCGTATGCTGATCTTTTTAAAGTGCTTAGAACAGAGGCTCTGTGATTACAAGTGATTCTGATCTCCAGGGGGCACTGGGAAGTGTTTGGAGACATTTCTGGTTGTTACAACTGGAGGGTGCTACTGGCATCTGGGGGTGGCAGCCAGGGGATGCTGCTGTACACCCCACAGTGTATAGTGATGTGTTGTTTGATGATGGGGTGCATTCCGAGAAAAGCATTGTGGGCGACTGTGTGTATGAACATCAGAGAGTAATCACACAAGCTTAGGTGCTCCAGTCTATAACATGGGGTCTGGCTTTGCACAAAGCTTACGTGTACTGGTTAAAATGAAACATATGTGTACTGGTTAAAATAAAGGGGGGGGAGGGTGGCGCTGGGGCAGGTGCACTCACCGATCACCTGCAGGCTCTGTTTGGTGTGCTTGGCGTAGATGCCATAGAGCTGCTTCTTGAGCTTCATGATCTCCTCTGCCTGAATGGCGATGTCTGTGGCTTGCCCCTGGGTTCCAAAGCAAGGGCAGGGTGAGAGTGAAGGAGAAGGAGTCAGTGTTGGCTTCTCTCAGGGAGGCTAGAGAGGAGACCCTCTTCAGACTTCTGGTTTTCAGGGGATGGGACAGGGCTTTGCAAGCCCCGCCACATTCTGTTTCATCCTCACCACCAGGAGGGCTTCCTGTATTAACTATACAGTCATATGTAACTTAATGACAAAGATGTGGGGGATGTGTTATTAGGTGATGTCATATGTGAATGTCACCGTTTAATTACATAGACTTACTAGATGCAATGGTCCGTTTGGACCACTGGTGTATGTGGGTCATCAAACTGTATTTCAGTTGCCCAAAACATCATTAAGCAATGTATGACTATTTTGTTATTTGCTATAGCTGGAGTTTCACTGACTGAAGGATGGGCCCACCTAGGGCTAGCTAATTCTTAAGAGCTAGCAAACAGTTGGCCCCAGCCTGTACACCTTTTAAATGCAAACTAATCAATCCAGAGCATAGACCCTCACCCTCTCCTTCATGGACTCACTCTCAGAGACACTGTCACCCTGCAGGAATCACTCCAGGGCCAGACACCGGCGAACCATACCCCAGAAGCTGCTGAAATTCCTCAGACTACCAGTCCCACGCCTTCTTCTCTGGCCTTGCTCATTCTTTCCTGCAGAAACTTCAGCAAAAGCTCTTGCTCATATTCTCCTTCCACCCCCTCTGCTCTCTGACTGTGGTGCTTCCTCATATGGCCCTCCACAGCATGGCAAGCTACTTCTTCCTGGGAACTGTAACAAACTCTCTTTGCAATGGTTTCCTGAGCTCACAGGGCCAAGCACTTACCCGGGCACCCCCTGAAGGCTGGTGGATCATGATGCGTGAGTTGGGGAGTGAGTGGCGCATGCCTGGAGTGCCAGCAGCGAGAAGCAGAGAGCCCATGCTGGCAGCCTGGCCCACGCACCACGTGCAGATGGGGTTCAGGATGTACTGCATTGTGTCATAGATGGCCAGCCCTGAGGTCACCACGCCGCCTGTGGGGTTGGGGCACAAGTGAGGGGAGTGCTGATTTTCCCCCCACTCTTCCCCTAGTGCAGTCTGTCTCTGGGGAACACTGGTGTAGAAGCAGCTCTTTATAGCAGACGTAACAAATGCAAACACCTCCAGGGGCTAGGAAGGTGACAGAAACAGGTACACAGGCCAGAAGAGAGCAAAAAGGAAGCTCTTGATTATGGGTGACCTGATTGCTGTCACAGTTCACATGGATCCAAGGGAACGAGATCTGCCAAATTTTTAAGAGAAAAAAGAAATCAAGAGTATGAAGGGTAAGAGTGAAGGCTCCGGAGTCAGCGTGCCTGGGGACAATCCAGCTAGACAATTTACCATCAGTGTGACTTTTGGCAATGTACCAGCCTCTTGGTACCATTGTGACTCCCTACAGAGAGGAGGTAACCAACCATGGGAGACTGCTGTTGAGGGTGAAGTGAGTTAAATATGAATGACTAAAATACAAATGAGTAGAGTACTCAGAAAAGTGCCTGGCACAGTAAGCACTCAGTCATGACTCACTTTGTTGTTTTGATCTACCAATTAAAAACGCTGACATCCAGGTCAGGTTGGAAAATGTTATGTGTGGGATCAGAGCAGGGGGCGCTCAGCTGCCTTTTTGTGAACATAGATTAAAAGGAAGGAACAAGCAGCTTCTGGAAGTTTCAAGACACTTAAGGACCTGAAGGAAGCTCTACACAATTTTCTTTTCCCAGAGAGAATGTCGCTGTCTAACCAGGGGTCTTGGTCCTGAGTCACCCAGCGTGACCTAAGGAATGCCCCTGGCTCACCAGGGCTGTTGATGTACATATGGATGGGCTTCTTGTTGCTCTCCGACTGCAGGAACAGCAGCTGTGCTATAACCAGGCTGGCAACGCTGTCATCGATCTGCAAGTGGGGGTGTCCCCAGATTGGGAGTTGAGGTGGTTACAGGAGATGAGTCAGGGAATCAGAATAGGGTTATAGCCCAAGTGTGAATTCTGAACCAGGAAAGGATGAGGTGTAGGGGGTGTTGGAAACCTAGGGGGGTTGGGGCACAGGAAGCTGTGGGTCAGAGGGCTTAGAACACAGGAAGGGGAAGGGTCAGGAGAGGCGGAGGAGAGGAACGGGAGCCCAGGAACGAGTGCGGGATCATAGGTGAGAGAGTGAGTCAGAGATCGGGGAGGGAGAAGCAAAGAGTTTGAGGAAGGGGCCAGGAGGGAGCTTAGGGGTGGGTAGGTGGGATGGGTAGAGGGCTAGGGGCTAGGAGGGGGTTCAGAGGGCTTATGTGGCCAGGAAGGTGGGTATAAGGTTTGTATTAAGAGTGGAGCCTGGAGAAGAAAGCCCAGGGGGAGATCGCGAGGAAGTCAAAGGGGTTCGAGGAGGAGGGGCACGTGGGGTTTGGGCAGGCGCAGAAGAGGATCCGGGCGCCCGGTGCTCACCGGACCCATGACGCACACGATGCGCTCCCGCAGCAGCCGCGAGTAGATGTCATAGGCGCGCTCACCACGACCCTGGCGGTGAAAGACAGGGGCGTCAAGGAAGGTCGCGGCCCCAGCCCCGCGCCCACAGGCCGGTCCCCGTCCAGCCACTGTACCGTCTGCTCCACCACGATGGGAATGAGCGGGAGAGTCCGGGCCGTCGTCGCGTGCAGGCTCCGCTGCAGGGACAGGCCGGTCCGCTGCGGGAGAGGGCGGGCGGCATGGAGAAGCCCCAGCGTGGGGCATCTGCCTGCGGCCACCCGAGCCCTCCCCGCTAATATTCCTGGCCACATCCCGCCGCACTTCTGTCCTCGCTTCCGTCGGACGGTGGAACTACAACTCCCGTCGTGCTTTGCATCCACGGCGCTCGGTCACTCGTCCGCCCACTTCCGGGAAGCTGGGCGGGCACGTTGGGGGGCGGGGCGGAGCGGGGCGGGACCAGGACAGGAAGTGGCGCCTGGGAAGCCGGTGAGTTTTCACTGTAGTTGGTGTCCGTTTCCTGAGAAATTTGTCATAATTTCCTACTTTTCAGTACCTGTTAAAAAAAGTCTATGCCAGTGGGCCGTGACTTAAGCTAGCTGCTGGCCCGAGGGACCAGCCTCTGTCGACCTGTGGTCTCGTGTGGGGCGGAGGCGGGACTCCAGGCTGTGGCGGACTGAGCGTGCTTGGCGGGGATTTCTGCGTCTGGAAAGTTCCTTCAGAGGAGCAGATGTCGGCGCTGGGCTGTCAAGGATGCCCAGGAGTTTGTTAGGTGGTGAAAGACATTCCTGACAGAAAGAGGAGACCAAGTGGAATTGTTCCCGGTAACGGCGTCTCCTCAAAAGTACTCCCACGTTTCACCAGAATTTGAGCGGTGTCTGGCTCGGGTTCGCTCTCCTTCACCGCCCTTTGACCGTGAGTTGACGAGGTGAGGAGGAAGGTTGAGAGCTGAAGGCTTTGCGGCAGCTGCCTCCCGTGCCAAACCTGGTTCTACGCTGACTTGCTGCGTGACTGAGGCGCATTGCTTACCCTCTCTGAGCCTGGAGTTCCTCATCTGGAGGACAGAGAAGAGCAGGCCAACTCCACAGGGAAAGAGTTAAGGACGCAAAGGCAGCATGCTGGCATTACCCGAATTCGAGTCTTGGCTCCACTACTTCCTAGTAGTGTGTCCCTGAAACGTAACCTCCCATCTGGAAAATGGGGATCATGGCAAAACCTAAGCCGAGGGTTGTCGTGCATAAGGCCCGGGAGCGGTACCTGGACTGTACTAGGTGCTCAGTTTGTATTAGCTACTGATATGATTAGTTATCGATCAGAAGCACTGCAGCCCAAGAGTCCTCTCCTATGAGGAGCCACTGGGAGTGGCTTTTATGTAGGCAGGGAGTTCACCAAGCAAGCAGTCTCGTGTGCTGGTTTCTAAACTTGCTCCCTGGTGCCCTAGATAAGGGTCATTTTTGTGCCCAGAGGGGAGCCCTGTTTGATGGGGAGATAAAGCAGAATACGGTTACCACCTTCCAGAATCAGGGGCAATATAGAGGATATGAAGTGGAAGTTTGGAGCACCTGGCAGAAGGCCCAGTTGAGGCTTTACTGGGGGGTTGGGCCCAGGAGTGTTGTTTCTCTGGAAGGAACTGCGAAGGTAGGTGGGCAGCTCGGGCTGTCCCAGTTTCTGCTGTGAGTCAGGTGGGTGGCCCTGCCAGGCCGGTTCCCCTAGGACCTGCGCTCCTCCCCTGCCCTGGGGAGAAGGGCTGGGTCATTCATTAGTTGCCACTGTCCCTGCACTTCTCCCCTGGACACTTCCCACACCCCCTGTCTTCGCTGCATACCTTTGTTTCACCTGCTGTGCCCATCCACACTTAAACCCCATTTCACCTCCTTTGGCCTCTGCCACCCTCCATCACGCCCTCATCGGTTCTCCAGCTTCACCCTTGTCCCCTGCCCCACTGTTGCTTCACTCCGCAGCCTAATGATCTTTGTAAAAGTTAATGGAAGCGAGTTCCTCCCTTGCCTAAAGCCCTCCCCTGTCTGCCTTTCAGCCCTGCTGACCTGCTACCCTGCCGTCCCTGCTTGGCTCCAGCAGTCACACTGGTCAGCTTTCTGTTCCGCAACTACATCCCGCTCCACCCAGCCACGTAGTCGTCTTCCTAACTCTGTTTCTTTCCCTGAAAGCCTCCACTCAAACGGAGACTTTGGAGGTCTCCTCACGCCATTGCTGACATCCCAGGCACGGACACGCTAGTTGCCGTGTTGGACGGGTTACACAAAGCAGCCCCAGCAGTTCTCTTGTTTTCTTCTGAATTGTCTGTGTAAGTGAGGTTCATGAGGCTGGGCCTCGGTGGCCTCGTTCAGCTGTGTGTCTTACTGAGAACAGTGTTTATCAGGGTACTCACAAGGAGAAATACATCTTATATAGTGTCTGAGTGCAAAAGAACACAAAAGTTTTATGAAATACTGCTTATCCTTATGGCAGCTGTGTCTTCTGATAGTCCATTCTACTTTATTCTCTTATAGATCATTTAATTTGAGTTTTTTCAGCCTTGGCACACAGTTGACATTCTGGGTTGGATAATTCCTTGTTTCTGGGGGAGGCCGTCCTGCATGTTGTAGAGCAGTGAACAACATCCCAGGCCTCCACCCCTAGATGTCCATAGCAACCCCCCAGCATAGCAACCCAAAATGTCCCAGACATGCCAAGTGTCACCCTGTTGAAAATCACTGACTTAAAGTGGGGAGTGGCCTGAAAAGGAAAAAAAGGGGCCCTCCCAGGTGGCGCAGCAGGTTAAAGCACAGCACTGTGAAGCTAAAGCCACTTCCGCATGAGTTCGATCCCCACCTGCCTCGGAGGTGACCACAGGGCATGGCAGACCTCTCCTGGCCCGCCCGCTGCTCCCCTCAGCAGTGGACTTCATCGATCTGCTTGTTCTGCTCCCCACTCTGTGGTGAAGCCTCTCACCGCCCCTGAGCCTTTGGCCTGTACCCCAGTTCTGTATGCACAAATAAATCTTTAAAAAAAAGGAACTGTTTAATAGTATGTGGCCCCTGGCAATCAAGTTTTGAAAGTGTATTTTATCTCTCCAAACTATGTTCACTTGGTAGTTCTCAATGAATGAATATCTTGGATTTCAGCTGCAAATCAGCTCATCCTGCCAGTGGTGTGCTTTCACTCGATGGTCAGAGGGAAGTACTGAGCACTGTTCCCTAAGATGAGCACAAGAGAAACCTATTGAATTGGTAGAAATTAAAATTTTTAAAAAAGCAGAAATGCTGAGGGCTGAAAAGTCTGAGTCCGTGGCTACTCCCATAAATGGCACCACATGCACATTATGACAACTCTTCTGGCAACTAAAGCAACACCAAGTTCCAGGTTTGCATGGTCCCTTTCTGTTCATTCTTAGCAAATGATCAAAGGTGACTGTCAAGCTCACAGGCTGTTTATGAATTGTTAATATGGGCCCTTCCTGGTGGCGCAGGGGGTTAAAGCACAGCACCACGAAGCTAAAGCCTCTTCAGCATGAGTTCGATCCCCGCCCTGGGAGGTGACCACATGGCGCGGCAGACCTCTCCTGTGACCTGCCCACTGCTCCCCTCAGCAGTGTACTTTGTCATTTGGCCTGTCCTGCTCCCCACTCTGTCTCTGGTGAATCCTCTCTCTGCCCCTGCACCTCTGGCCTGTACCCCAGTTATATGTGCATAAATAAATAAATCTTTAAAAAAAAAAAGAATTGTTAATATACCAATTTTTTCTCAGCCAGCTATTGCTTTTTAACAAACCACCCCTGCACTTAGGGGTTTAAAACAACCATTTCTTATTCTTTATCATAGTTTGGAAATATCAGCTGAGCTCAGCTAAGTGGTTGCACTGCATATGGGGTTTACTGGGGGTGTTAGATCCACCAGGAACCTTCACTTACATCTCTGGAGTCTCCCCTCTGCTGCTTGCATCTCTCCATGTGGTTGATTGGGCTTCCTCACAGAATGGTGGACTTTACATCTCCCATGGCAACCATCTTCCAAGAGAAAGGAGGTAGAAGCTGCCTATTTTCTTTAAAATTTGTAATGAAGTCTCAAGGCAGCTCTACTGCCACATTCTGTCAGTCCAAGAAATTCACATGGACAAGCCCAGATTCAAGGGGGGGGGGGGAGGAAATCAATTCTAGGATGGAAGGAATTGATGATGGCAGTATTTGGAGCCATTCTATCAGTCACATTAGAAATAAATTTCCAATAAGGGTACTAAGTCAATCATTTAAAATTTAAACTTAAAAAAAAATCACCAAGTATTTGTCTAGTATATTATAACTGATATTTATTGACTGCCTACTCTGGTCCAGGGTTTATCAGTACAGAAATTAAATAAGGAAAGCTTAACTAAAACTGGAGTCGGAAGCTCACACGTTACCACCTCCATCATTTCTGTGCACTTCTCTTTGTTACGTGCCCTGCCGGGAAGTACCCCATATGCTTCCAAGTGGGAAGTGGTCTAATGCTCCAAGGGTGATTCAGCAACAGCTTCACCAGTGACAAGTGCCCCAACACAGCCAATGAGAAGTCATCACCACCCTGGACTCTTGCTCTCTTCTTCAATTGACTCTTGCAGAACAACCCCTCTCTGTCCCAGTTTATCCTATGTAAGTAAGCTCCCTTAGTTTTTCTTCAGATTTTCATTTGCCAGTGCTAGGCATGCATATCCCAAATTGTAGTTCTTAACGCTATTCTCAAGTGAACTTGTTTTGCTAGTAGATTAACTGACTGTTATTTATTTAAAGTCAGCGTTAGTTAGACGTGACTGAGAGAGCAGCACAAGGGATCAGTGTCTTTCTCTTTAGGTTGTAACCAGCAGGTTGGTATCCCAAGTTGGTAGGGTGGCTCTTACCAGGAAGTCTCCAGAGACCTTCTCCTTTTTGTATTCAGGATCTAAAATGGAGTTTCAACTGAAAGGATGGAGAAAGAGAAGCACAGGCAAAGGGTGCATGCTGGGCCTCCCTGGTGGTGCAGGGGGTCAAGTATCAGCAGCCACTGCAGCAAGAGTTCCATCCCTGGCCAGGGAGCTGACCACATGGCACAGCAGACCTCTTACATCGCCCATTGCTCCCCTCAGCAGTGTATTTCAGTTAGTCTGCCTGTTCTGCTTCCCTCTCTGTCTCTGGCGAATCCTCTCACCACCCCACACTTCTGGTCTATACCCCAACTCTTGGATGTAAAAATAAATCAATCTTTAAAAAAAAAAATAACCAAAGGGTGCATACTAACCAGTCTTGAATGAAGGCTGACCTCTACATACTTTCTCACATCCCATTGGCCAGACTTTGGTCACATGA